AGTACACGATTAAAGGTAAGTCTATAAATTTCGTAAACGAAATATAATAATTTAGTGGATAGTTTTGATAACCACAATATAGTACAACTAAAGAAATAAAAATTCCCTAAATAGGGATATTTTTTTTATTAATATAAGTCTACAAATGAAAAGTTTGCTAATGAAATTTTGATTAAAGGTAATTCCATTAAATCATAAAGAGATCTGATTTTCCAACTTAAATTAAAAAAAAATCAACGTATCTATTGCACTAGCCAGATGAAGGGAATAATAATAAAAAAAAATCATAATACCTCGTTTAACGAGTTTAATCCGATAGTGAAATACTCTTATAGTGAAATATATTCAAAAATACACACATATTATGTACACGAGTTTTAAAAATGATGTAGCATACGCGCAATCCGGGACTTCTCTTCTCATCGTCACTCGTTATGCGAAACGTCGCTCGTTAAGCGAGTCATTTTTCTTACAATTGATTTTGCTCGTTAAGCGAAATGCTCATTTTGCGAGGTGCTCGTTAAGCGAGGTTCCACTGTACATATTTTATATATTTATTTCGAAAAAAAGCAGATATCAATTTTGATACTTAGGCATTAAGACCATACATATGTCGCACTTACTGTTAATGTACTTAGGTATCAAATTTGAAACTTAGGGCATTTAAGGGTTAAATGTTGAGTTTCAACGTACATGTGATAAGTTGTTTTTGTTAGATTAGTTTTCTATTGTGTTTTGTTACATAATAATTAAGTTGAACAGAATCAATAATATTTTTGCTAATATGGTAACTAAATGAACAATTACCTTAAATTATTTATATAATAGCAATTTTTTTAAATTATGTCACGTTATAAAAGGAAAGTCGATATATTGAAACTTTGATTACAGATATGTATTTTCAATCATAAACAGTATCAATTGAATTTTACACAAAAAATAAATGGGTTTAATCTTGGTAACTAAATTTTGCACTTAAATTTTGAAACCAAAATGAATTTTATGGTTAATTGAATAAGTAAAGAAATCTTCATACAGTTTTAATAAGTTATTAAAGCTACATTTTTTTGATGGCCTAATTAAGATTGTAAACACAATTACTATTGTGTTACTATTATTTGGAAATGTTAAATTTTGTTTTTTTTTATTAATTATTATTATCTTTTGCTTGTGTTTGAAAAATAATTTTGTTTTAAATTTACTAAAACATTCAACTTATTGCCAGAGATGTTGGCAAATTGTGAATAAATAATAAAAGTTAAAAAAAAGTTTACTAAAAAAATATTACAAAATGTTTAACTTCTATATTTTTATTAAATTGGATTCATGTAATAAAAACATAATAATCAAAATTGAATTACATAAATCTGTCATTAAAATTCCATTTTTTCATTCCATTATTTTACATAACTCTAATGTTTTCTTAAAAATAATTTAATTCCAAATTAATACTAAATAAATTATAAACATAACAAAATAATTACTAAATTACTGTAAATAATGAAATTGAAAATCCTAATTGATAGATCAAATATAGTTTTTTTTTTGCATATATTTCGATTTGAGTTCTATATTCAATTATGTTGATGAAGTGAAAATTTAAATATTCGCTTTATATAACTGATATATATGTTAAATAAATAATTGTTTATCTCAGAGAAAAAGCCGGCGGGTCCTTTTATATATGTATATTTGTTTTTTTTTTGACGTATAATAAATTTTATTCATTTATGTACTAATTACTTATTCGCGATTCAATTTGAAAATATATTATTTTATTATTGGATTTCAACAGAAATTGTTTATTATTATATTATTTATATTACATTAATAAATACATTTTCTTAATAACTATAATTAGGGAATCAATTTTACTTAACGTAATAAATATCTTGATTTTAATCGTTTTTGCAAATTTGTAATTTCACCATTTTACTGAAGCGTTAATTTTTTACTTAAGAAATTGTAAGCTACTTTTTTATACAACTTTACATAATAATTTATGGAGTTTATAAGTGTACTTTCGCTGTACTCTAAAACGTAGCAAACTAATTAATCTTACCTCTACTACTTAGGATAATATTATAAGCAACTTTGCAAATAATTAGGATGATAATCTACAAAAATTTAAATATTCAAAAAACTATATTAAATAAATTTTCATGTAATTTGTCTCAAATAAAACAATATCTCGCATAGTGCCGGATATCGCCAATATAGTGCACTATTTGAAACCGGACTAATTGAGGTTTTTCGTTTGCATAATGCGGTTTATAAGTATAAACCGCATAAAAAGAGGCTAGACTGTATATTGAAAAACGAAAGTATATTCAAACCGTACTATAGTGAATCCGCACTTATCGAATCCGTATTAAGTGAGGTATTGATGTATTTATCTATGAACATTTTGAGTGTTGTAATGCCTATATAAATAGCTATAGTCTACACAATTTGGAAACATCAATATTTTATGTATGCGTTTTATGTAATAGAAGTGTTTTAAAATGTAATGATGTGTCGTCATCTTCATCAATATGCAAATAGATTTTGCACAAATTTCGCTTAGTAATACAAAGCTGCATACATCATAAAATATGTATACGTTAACTGCATTTCCAAAGCATTTTAATCATATCACAAACATTTGAATTTTACAATTAAAATTTGTGCAAATTAACATATTAACTATGTTTTCGATTGAAAATACATAATGAATAATTTCAATCTTATAATTATTATGTTTATAATTAGACAAGTAAATATTTCTGTAAATAGAGATTTTTAAGTAGTTGGATTACATTTAGTTACTTAATATTTAATGAATACTTCAAGTATACAACAATACCTCGCATAGTGCGGGTAATCGCGGTTAATATACCGCACTGTTTGAAGCTGGACTAATCGAGGACTTTAAAACCGGACACAAATAAAGTGCACAAAAATAGGCTTGACTGTATAAATTGAAAAAGAACAATAATTTAGAATGTAGTTAGAATTTTTATTTTCATTTTACTCAATTAAAATTTAGTTTCTTTTGATATGTTTAAATCGTACTATAGTGAAATCGCAATGATCGAATCCGCACAATGTGAGGTAATATTAATAATAATAAATAACACAAATACATTAGAAATAATTTAAAATAAAAGAAATAATATTTTTTATTATAAGACGAAAGAATTTGAGCATTTACTAACGGTTTTTTTTGTAATTTGAATTGAGTCAAGTTATAATCTCTTTTTGATCCATGCTGATATGAATGCGTGGAAAAGCTTCTTATTATGTTATTTGAAAATATTTTATGGTTTCATCTGAAAAGTTTAGAAAGATGTTAATCCATGCATGGCTTTTCGTGTGGAATACGCCTTTCAAATGAGCTTCATTAACGGAACAAACTTTGAAGCTTAATTCCAGTTGGAAATATTATTTGTCTACATACAAATGATAAGCATATTTATAAAATTTATATTTTTTTTTTAAATATTTACGAGGCTTAACTTCTTCTTGTAATTGATCGATTTAATATTTATTTATATATTCGTGAACATATTGACTATATTTGTATTCATTATTATAATATTCAATTTTTTTAAATTTAATTATTGATTAGTATTTTCATTTAAGTAACTTAATAATTAAGTACAAATCTGTAGAGAGCATTTGTCTATTAATTGAAGTAATTTTTTTTCTTAATTTTCTTTTGGTAAAGATGCAAAGATGTTTCATAAAATTTTTGATGAACTCTAATATGTAACAATACATAAACGTGTGCTTATTATTGTCCTTTTTGATTTTGCTTTTGATACTTTTTGATCTGAGCAATTTGTTATACAAACTGTATAACATTACTTATTAACTGTATACATTTGTTATACTTCATCGAAAATATAGTAATTTTAGAATGTTCTTTAAATTTGTTGTAAAACTGAATGAATTGCAACAAAAAGTAATACATTTATTTGTAATATTTTAAACTCATTATTTGACCCCTTGACATATTTTAGAAATTAATTGCCATTATAAATTGAAATACAAGTTTACAACCATACTTGGCATAGTGCGGATAATTGCTTCCCAGGACTGTTTGAAACTGGACTAATCGAAGAACTTAATATATACGAAATTATACGAATGTAATTCATTTTAATTTTTCTCAATTAAAATTTAGTTTGTTTTGAAATATATTTGATATTTTTGTAAATCAATTTATTAGCATTTAATAAACTGTGCAATAATTACAAACGAAGACCTTTCAAATGCACTTTTACAAATTAATATTGAAATTGAACGTTATTTATATTTATTTAATTAATGTTTTTTTTGTTCCTTTCAATGTATTTCTGTTATTTTGCAAAGCTCATTCTATTTTATATAAATACGCTCCAACATAAGTTTTTTCTTCCTGTTGTGACTGAAGTGTAATTAACTATTTCGAATTTCAAACAATTTCCGCTCGGCGTTCGCATTTTCCGACAACAATAACAACAACAACAGCAACAAAAAAAGGTAAAAATAGAGTGTCCCGTTTAATTCGTCGAGCATTAAAATAATCGGCAGTTTTCCGGTTTAATGATCAATCGGAAAATGCAAATGAAAACGCTAAAAGGGAGAACGGCCTAGGTACGACGAAACTATCCAAAATAAATGCGCATAATGTGCGAACCGAATAAATGTTTTTGCGCGGTTATTTCCGTCGGTATTCCCATCCATACTTTGGATATTTTTTTTTGTGTTTTTTTTTGGATGGGGCTGTTGTGTTCAACGCATGCACACAAGTTGCTGGAAAATATATTTCCAATGGATTACTTTGTGTACACTGCATGTCAAATACACGCGAATTTCTGCTTTTGATTAACAGATTTTGTATGTACCGGTTGGGGTTTCTGTGGTCGATTTTTTCCCCTTTTTATTTTACATCTGTCCCTATTTTTTTTTCTCACACTCAATTTACTTCTCTTATTTTCTCTCAATTTACTTCTATGTTTTTTTTTTGTACTTACCATTTTCCACGGCGAAACACATCAAAGCCACGAAAACGGATTGCAAAGCAAACATTTTCTGCGTGTATGTATGTATATCTGTGGGAGAAAAGAAAACGTCTGTATTAGCGCAGTCGACAACAATGGAAGGAAAACAGGGTGCAGCGCGCGGTAATTGGAAGGGCGAGGGTGAGAAAATTGTAGTTGACTCAGGGCCTAATCATATTTTGGGGCTGATCGAACGTCCGGTCGGTCATAGGGAGGACAATTCGATTTTGGACGGCGAACACAGGTAATAGAAAAGCCCGACGCTGATCCTTCCGATCCGTGAGTCACCCTCACGCCCCATGTCACACTCGTTGCGACTCACCCTCCCATCCACCCAATCCTTCATCCTCCCCTATTTTGCACACAGTTTCCTTTTTACCGGCTTATTATATCATGTCGTTAATTAAGTGGGAAATTACCTAAGGGCTCCAATTCAGGACCAAAATTCCATTAAAGAGCAGTCGAGATAGGGAGCAAACGGCACCAGCTATACACACGTATTGAAATGACGCTGATGATTCACATCGCACGCATAAAGCTGGTACAGTTCCGTATCTTCGTATCTCTATCTCTCGTATAAACCTTCAGAATACACAAACATTACACAGTCAGTATTTGTATAATTAGTTGTATCAAAATGTATGTTTGTAATTCTCTCTCATCGAGAACTACCAACATATACTTTGTCCTAGAACAACTATTGACTTGGAAATTAATTTCGTATTTCGTTTAAATGACTTAATAAAAATTAGTTTCATCTTTACTTAAAATCTTACAATATATATTTTTCTAAGAAATTATGTTTTCCTCCGTATTTTAGACAGCCGTTTGTTACATCATATTTGTCAATATGGAAAATAACAAGCAGTATCTTCGAAATATATGGAGAAGATGACCAGTGCATCCCAACCGATGTATCGTAATAGGACTTGAAGTGATGCCCAACAATTTTGATCGTTAAATTTGTTTTATTCAAATCTTTCTAAATTTTTTTTTTCATTATTCAACATTCAAATTACATTAGTGTTTCCAACAGTTTTAATCGTTTAAATCGTTTAATTAATGATTCCATTTGGAATCACTGTCACAATTTTGACAGATGCCGCGGTGTAAGAGGTTCTTTAGCCCAGTACTTCCCAACCGGGGTGTAGCTCAGTGTTTCCCAACCTTCCGCACTAATGAAATATTGTGAGATGTGCCGTGAAAATATTTTTTTCTTGTGAAGTGTGCGAAGTTAGTTTGGGAAAATTCAGACTGGTGATTCGACGCTGAAAGATGGCAAATAGTTATTAGACAAAACGGTGCACACATTGTTTAACTAATACGAAAATTATTTGTTTTTATTTGAATTACAAAAAAGAAATTACTTTTCGAATAGAATTAATATACAATAATATAAATTTCAATGTACAGTGGAACCTCGCTTAATGAGCACCTCGCATAACGAGCATTTCGCTTAACGAGCGAAATGATTCGTAAGAAAAATGACTCGCTTAATGAGTGATGATGAGAAGAGAATTCTCGAATTGCGCGCCTGCTACATCATTTTTAAAACTTGAGTACACATATTATGTGTATTTTTTAATATAAACAAGTATTTCACTATACAAGTAAAAATCCGGAAATTTTGGAACGGATTAAACTCGCTAAGCAAGGTTCCACTGTATTTGTTATCATTTGAAAACTCTCATTAATAATTCATTGCTATTATAATTATTTCTATACTAAATTTACTTTTACTAAATTTATCAAATTTGTTTTGTATATGTAAATGATTATTAATTTTGACATATACTATACTGAACTATAATTGACTGCGTTTGTTGCGTAAAGTTCTCATAAGTTTCTATTAACCAATGTACAGTCAGTCCTCAACTTACGCGATTTTAGTTGTTTCTCAGTTGTATGCTTGCGGGTGTCCCAACTCCTCTTTCTTCTTTAATCTGAAAATTAATTTATTTCTTGGTATGTCCAATAAATAATATTGTCTTGAGACTTACACGATTTTTCGACATACGCGAAAACCTTCGGAACCAATTAATCTCGTAAGTCGAGGACTTACTATATTGTATAATTCTATCTAGGTCAGTTAAAAAAACTTTTATTTGGCAACAATTAACTGAATACATAAATGAATATTTGTTTATTACGAACATATACAAAACAATTGACTCTTTAAATTAAAATTTTAAATATTCATGGTAAATCTTTTATCAAATTATTTGCTATATGAAAACAATTGGGAATCATTATTGGTACAATATTGAATTAAAAATAAAACAATCAATTGCCTCAATTAATTGAAATTCATAATCAATCAAATGTGGGATGAAGTAATCAAAGGGACTGCGTACGGCTTTTCTGGATTAGATGGCTGAACGTGTGTACGGAATCGATTCAATCAAATGCCATTTGCTTATCAAATGTGCTTCCAATGGTATTACGGGTCGAACAATATTCGATAGCTGTTTGTAATTTTGGGTTCTTTCCAGAATCACGAATTTGGGGATTTATATGTACTCGATATACAGAGAGTTTAGTAGTATTGAATGGAGGACAACGAATTGTAAATTACAAGTATATACAATACATACAATAGTATACAAATTCAACAGCCTACTGTTGAATAGGCTTGATATCGATGTTTGAAACCTTTGTTTACTACTTCTTCTATTTGTCAGAAATATTCGTATTGAATTTAGTAATAATAATGTTTCGTAATAATTTGAAATTAGAATGCTGTTGAATTCAATTAGTATATATTGATTTTTAGGTTTTTATTTTTGAGACAAAGATACGTTTTTCGTGCAATTGAATAATCACGAAGCCACGTCCAGTAGAATATGTCCGCAGAACACTGGTGATCATCATAAGAAACAGTTGGAAATTACGAATCTAAGCGTATGCTATAGTAAAAGCACGTGGAATAAACGAAGATTTGAGATATGAATTATTATAATTCTTATTTGATTATGCACTCTACATTTTATAATAGTTGAAAATTATATATTGAAAAATATAAATTGATTTCAATAATTCTCATAGAAAAACATAACTATTTAGTAATTATCGTAAGCGTATTATTTGAATATTTTCATAGAAAGTGAACATATTTAATTTTCATCAATTCAGTAGAAAATAAAATTGCTCGTCGGAATATTTGAACAAAGAAATCAGAGTATAAAATAAAAATCATTGCGATATGAATTTTCACTTAAAAACGTGAAAGAATGAATGCATGTAAAAAATAACTAATTGTAAAATCTAAAAATTTATTGTCAAAATTTACTGGTAATTTCGTTAATCATTTTAACCGGTAAAACCGGTTAATCGAGTAACGGAACTTCTATATATAATACAAAAACGAGGATTAAAAATTGAAGAATTTCTTATTAATCCTTGTGTACGATCTAAATAATGATCTCTTCATTGGAACAGAAGACTCTTTATTTCAGGGCTACATTTGTATCATTGGTCGAAGATTTCGGATGTCCAGTCTGAAATCTTTGAAACCACTTGGAAATAGTCACAAGGGATGATGCATTCACTCCATATGAATTTTGGCATTCCTGAACAATTTGCATAGGTGCTTGAGTTGATGACAAAATCAGTAGAGAATGGCAAATCAAATTTTTGTTGTGTTGGAGCAGGAATTTCTAGCAACCTTACATCACTAATCTTGCATTTTCTCCTATCAATTCTTACCGAAATTTGACATGAAATATTGTTAACAAATTGAGAAACAACTTTTGTTTTTCCAGAAACAAATGAATTAATGCCAACTTGGCGAGCTTTTGTTAGACCCCTCGTATATGCATTATAATATTCGTAATGATATACTATGACACTACATAATTTTAATTAACATTCTTTGTTATTAACTTTTTTGCACATTAGGTGGACACTTATAGTATTTACAAAATATGAAAAAGCATTGAAAAAGCCGATAACCATAAATTGATTAATATTATTTAAATGAATTGTTTACTTATCAGAAACAGCCAAGCTTTCTTTCCATCTTATTTTACTAAATCAATCAAAAAATGCTTAATTTTATACTTTGTATATTTGTATCATGGCTACAGTATAATAAACGTATGATATATATTATATAGTCTTCATAATGTGTGTGAATAGTGGAAATATTTCGGTTAATAAGATTAGCAATTAGATGGCAATAAAGTGTCGCCGTGGTGAGATAGGCAAATTATTGGAGAATGATATGAAGGAGATTTTGAAGAGGAAGGCGCGGAATATGTTTACATTGGAAATCCGGACCCCTCACGCACGCACAGCCATTACAGTAAGGAGAGATGCCCATTTCGTTCCGTGCTTCGTAAATGCAAATTAAATATTTACGGCCGACGAAATATGATGGCAGTCGGGAATTCGGAATGCCAAAATCGGGGGTTGGTGGGTCGCAGTTAAGGGGGGTTTGCGAGAGGCACATTATCATGTGATACGGTTTCGGTGCGGCGCGAAATTTCAAATTTATTCCCCCACATCCTGCATACAACAAATGCGATATTTTCCTTTTCCTTCCTTCCATTCCTCCTTCGGTAAGCAATCCGAGCGATACAAATTCATTAGGAACAGAATCACTCCCGTATTCCGTCCTCGCTTTGATTCGCAGCAGACATACACCACTTTTTTTCTCTCCTGCATATTTCGACTACTCGCATGATACTTTCCTTCACGCCAAAGTCCTCATTCATTGCTTATGCATGCGAAGCACCATCGACTTCCTGTAAATTTCGTAACTCCATACCGAGAGAGAAATAAAAAGGATAAAAAGAATGGGAAAAAAAATACGTTTCGATTCGTTTACGTAACATTAACGTACGAAATTGGAAATGATCCGCGGAAGAATTGTGAAGATAATCATTAAGGAAACGGCTGTATTTGAGATGCACTGTTTCTTTATTACTCTGTCGGAGGCGCAGACACACTCATACAAGAATAAAAAAACGCGGACCGGGAACAAGATGAGATTTTTTTTTTGTTTGTTTGTCGAGCCTAATGTGAACTGAAGTCTTGAAGATTTTTATAAA